ATACAGGGGAGATGTGGCTAAGGCTGCGTAAACAGAAACAAAATTTATTAAGCTAAATGGCAGAAAATTGAGCAATGAACCTTCAGAGGCATGATCTGTACACAAACACTTAATTAAGCTAAAGCTGTTTTGGTGATTATAATGTCTCTTTAAGTAAAGTTTAATTTCAGTTGCTTATTTGATTTACTCATAATCCATCAGCAGGGCCGGCCATAGGCCATAAGGCACCCTGTGTGGAAATCTTCATAGCGCCCCCCCTTCCCCACCCACCCTGGTCATAGACCTTCATCCATATAGATAAATAAAATACACATAGTGCAAACTGTATAGAACAAATAAAATTATAAGAGGAAAATATTTCTTCAAACTCACACTTTTCAGAGCCCATTTAAAGTTGGCTCTAGACTTATAGCGCTTGTTATCTCATCCTTGGGACTTTCAGCAGTAATGTAGCATAAACATCCAAAGGAACTTGGAACTGGTGAAATGCAGCAAACTCCAAAATCCAAGGCAGGTCCGCAAATCACCTTCTTTTCTATTATATCACGCAAATCACCTTCTTTTCTATTATATCACATTTTAAGTGTAAATGGTGACATTATGCTTGGGTAATTTTAGCTGCACCAGAATATAGAAAGATTAGCGCCACTTTGTCCTTTTTTCTGTTTTTTATTTTATTTACAGTGTCAAGGCTTTCCTCTGGTAATACAGCTACTTATGGTCTGCACACACAAACACACACACAGTCAGACACAAACACACACACAGTCAGACACACACACACAGTCAGACACAAACACACACAGTCAGACACAAACACACACAGTCACACACAAACACACACAGTCAGACACACACACAGTCACTCACATTAACACTTTTTTTTTTTATTTAACCCCCCCCCTTTGGGGGGAGGGGGGTCCTCTTTCTCCCTGGTGGTCCAGTGGCTGCCGGTCGGGCTGCTGGGTGGGCGGGTGGCGAGGGAGCTCTTCCTCTGAGCGGTCTGCTCAGCTTCCTCCCTCGCCAGCCGCCCGCCCAGCGCCGCCCGCCCAGCGCCGCCCAGCATGTCTGTTAGCCGCAAGGCTAACTAGGCATTTGCCCTGGGCATTTGGGGGTGGCGTTTTTTGCCGCCCCCTGAAAAATGCCGCCCAAGGCAAATGCCTAGTTTGCCTCGCCGCTAAAACGCCCCTGAGTGCAGCTCCTGAAGTCTAGTTGTTGGAGAAGCAGGGACTCCTTCCTACTCCCCCCTTCTTGTGCAGGAGCTACCAGGGGCTTCTGGTAGGTTTTAGCCCCACCTCTGCTGCCATTTTAGCCCCACCTTTGCCTCATAAAGCGTTGCCCCAGATGCCTTGCTATTTCTTTCATGGACATGGGTGGAGAATAATGAATTCCTCCACCCTGGTACCTGCACACCTGTCACCCAGCCATGTGTGAGCTGTGCAGTAGCATCCTGTATGCAATTAAAGTTCAATTTACAAAGCAGGAAATAAAAACTCCCTGCTCCATGGCGCCCTGCTCGCACACCCCTTAGGCCAGCCCAGTCCACCAGTCAAAAGAACTCCACAGCAGATATCATGGACAAAAGAGAACAAAGGGGAGTCATCCAGGCACTCAGATAGGGCTCAAGGAAGAGTAGATAATAAATATAAATAAAAGCAAGTGGCAATGAGTGCTGCTTTAGGGGTTATAGTCAATAGATTTTGATATTTATTCACAAACTTCCACTTTGAGATCCATTATAATGTGGAATGATTACTTTATAAAACAATATCTCCTCTTTAAGTAAATAACTTGTTAGATAATCAGAAAAGGATAACTTTTCAATGTTTAGGTCAAGAATCCTCTTAGTAGGTTCACACAGACCTATTTCCAATCTGCAACTTTTAGAGCATTCAGTTAAATTATGTTTCTTACCATTTTGATTATAGAACATTTAGAAATTCAGAACGACCTCGCCAGGCAATAACTATGAATTGGCTTTCATAGGACCCACTATGCATCAAAACTATTACAGCTCATTACCTGTATCCTTGTAAATGGAACAATACCTACGCTGCATCCTTGTTTAAAATAGTAGAAAAAAACCAAAACTCTTGAAAATATAAAATGAAAGGCTTGTAAGACCCAATTTGTAAGTAATTGGCTGGATATTAAAGAGGATACTATATGGGTAAAGATAGCAGCGTAATAACTAGTACAGATAGCTATACTCACTCTAATGCCATACGTCAAACGCATGTGAGTACGCAATGCAGTCATGGCACCAGGAACGACCGGTAAACAGCAATTTTCTCCATATTTTTTAGCTACATAACAGCCAAGGCATGATGGGAAGCAAAGTCCAAATAGGCCTACAAGAGACAAACCAATTATTATTTCATTATACTGAATGCATTTAATACTTCTGATAATGATTCCCTCTATTAAGACAAAACTAGTCACTCAGTTTGAGAGATGAGTTAATGATTTAACGTTTTTCACTTAATCTTTTAATTACTGAGGTTTTTCTAAGATTCTGTGCGTTAGACCTTTGGTACCTGTTATATGTTCATTATGATTTAACATTTTGTCTTTACATACATAGTATATTTTGTTTGTTTTAAAGGACAGATAGGGCTTTCTTCTCAGAAAAGCCCAGACTGCCTATCAGGCAAATCAAAGCATATCTCTGGCCAGCCCATGCAAGGCCAACCCACAGTGAACACCGGCTTAAAGAAGCAAATCAGTCAACAATCTCCCTCACTGGCCCACTGCACCCATGCAAGAGGGAGCAAGATGCATTTTATCTCCAGGTGCAGATCAAGTACTCTCATTTAGCAATGCAAAGGTCAAGGAGGAAAAGTGGCACCAGGGCTGCCATCAGAAAGTTTTGGGCCCCTAACACAGCTCAAGGTCTCCAAGCCCGCCCCCGGGAATACGCACACAGAAACAAACACACGCACTGATACAAAAGGACACAGATACACACATACACACATATAGGCATACATACTGACACACACATATTGAAATAGACATATACACATATACAGACATACATAGTGATACACAGACACATACTAACATACATACAGACACACACATGCATAAGGACATACAGACTTATACATAGACACATACATACATAAATATATACACAAAAATACATACATATTTATTACTGGTATTTATAAAGCGCCAAAGATTCCACAGCGCTGTACAATTAGTGGAGAACATACAATATACACACAAATACAAAAGGTAGAGAGGGCCCTGCCCGTAAGCTGAAATCTAGCTTTTATAGAAGGTGCATAGCCAGATAGCCCATGAGCTTACAATCTAGAGGATACCGTGGGGATTTGAGACAAGAGGTAGCAGGGGAAATTTGGAAGTGATGGCTAAATAAGTAAACAGAGAGTTGCAGCTATTGGTAGAATATAAAGGGAATGAAGAGGTAATTGAGTGAGAATTTTAAACAGCTGAAGGAGCATGCTATAAATTTAGGGGGAACCTGGGTGGGTGGGTTGAGCCGAGTAGAATTGAAGAGGCTTGCTCCAAAGGTGGTATGGGGATTGGGCCTAGGGAGCAATAAAGAGAAACAGTTATTTCATGGAATTTACAGCTAGGAGTGGCAAGCATGGGGGAGGAGTGGGAGGGAACAAGAAACAGTTGTGATCTACAATTTAGAATTTTGCCAATCAAATCCTAACAGCCAGATTATTAATTAATACATGTAACTGCAAGTACAAGATACTACAGATCAGGGCTGCCATCAGAAATGATGGGGCCTCTAACAAGCCCACCTCCAAATTCCGCCCACAGGAATACTCACACAGACACAAACACACGCACTGATACAAAAGGACACAGATTCATACTAACAGACACGCATACTGAAACAGACACACACACATATAGGCATACATAGTGACACACAGACACACACATACTGAGACATATACAGACATACATAGTAACACACACAAACGTGCATACTGACGTACGTGCATACTGACATACGTACAGACAGACATATATACTAACTTACATACTGACATACAGACAGACATACACATACACACGTGCATATCACTTTTCAGCCACCCTCCTGTTTCTTACCTTTTCATTGCAGGAGGGTGGCTTGGGCTAATGGGAGTCAGCTAACTCTCCCTCTTCACGGCTTCCATGCTGTCTCTCCTACCGCACTATTACACAGCCGCAGCGCTGACCGGGCTCCTGAAGATATAGGGCCCTATATGCTTGCACTATCACACGGCCCTAAATGCTTGGGTCACCCAATGGGCCCCATCAGCGTGCAGGCCCCGGTGCAGCTACATAGCGCCTATGGGTGTGACCATAAAGCTCTATTTTGGCCTTGTCATTTTAAATTACAATGTGCAAAAAGCTGTGAGGCATACTGTAATCTGTCTTTTTTGTGGCATTGGCACAGTAAAGGCTTCTTTCTTGCAACTTGACCATGCAGCTTTTGTTCAAGTATCATCATATTGTGCTCTTTGAAACAACCACACCATCTTTTTCCAGAGCAGCCTGTATTTCTCCTGAGGTTACCCGTGGGTTTTTCTTTGTATCTCGAACAATTTTTCTGGTAATTGTGACTGAAATCTTTCTTGATCTACCTGACCTTGGCTTGGTATCAAGAGATCCCTGAATTTTCCACTTCTTAATAAGTGATTGAACAGTACTGACTGGCATTTTTAAGACTTTGGATATTTTTTTATATCTCTTTCCATCTTTATAAAGTTCCATTACCTTGTGATGCATGTCTTTTGACAGTTCTTTTTTGCTCCCCATGGCTAAGTATCTAGCCTGCTCAGTGCATCCACATGAGAGCTAACAGACTCATTGACTATTTTTACACAGACACCAATTGCAATTTAAAAAGCCACAGGTGTGAAAAATTAACCTTTAATTGCCATTTTACCCTGTGTGTGTCACCTTGTGCGTCTGTAACAAGGCCAAACATTCAAGGTTATGTAAACTTTTGATCAGGGCTATTTGGGTGATTTCTGCTATCATTATGATTTAAAAAGGATCCAAACAACTATGTGATAATAAATGGCTTCATACAATCACTATCCTTCAATAAAATATATATTTTTTGCATGATCAGTCATATTTTTAAAATCAATGCTACAATTTCAAAAATTTTGCCCAGGTATGCAAACTTTTGAGTACAACTGTACCTCCCAATGCTTACGAAGCCAAGAAATAGAGATAGGTGGATGGAAATTATAGGTATGACCATGTAGAAAACTCAGTCATACTCATAGGATTGCTCTATACTGCCAAATTTGTTTTAACGCACCCTGCACCAACTTTCAGCTCTTAGCACTGCAAGGACTTGTGCAAATTGAAGATCTAATCCTGCATTTAAGAGCTGTCAGACAGTGAAAAAACCTGACTGTGTTCATTTTGTCCAAGATTTTACATTCAGTGACCGCATGCCACATGCACAACTGAGGCTGGGCTCCTTTCCCTTTGACGAGAAAGTGCCATGCTCAAGAGCGCTCATGTGTAGACTCAAGCTATGCCAAGAGCTTAAAAGAGACATTTCAGCAAACCGTGACCTGGGCTATCCGTTTGCTGTTATCCATTTACAAACCAATTCCACTCATGATGGTTGGCGTGCTCTTGAGCAAAAACTTCTTATTTAATAAACTGGTGTTAAGCAGGTTTTATTTTCTGGTGTGGGACAGGTCTGCCGGCAGTAAAAAATTTGATTTTGTTTTGTTTTGTTTTTTTATTTTCTTAACTCATTTTTTTTTTTTTTTTAAAGCATTATTATTATAACGAATAAAAATAGGAAGTTTTTTTTCTCAGTTTCCTTAAGGTTCTAAAATCCATGAAAATCTATAGTTTCCTTGTAAGCTATAGAGACATGCAAATGTATGTACATTTAAATTGTATCATTCTACTTACAAATTCCACAGTCCTCACAACAGTCAAACAGTCCAGTACTCCACTTTCCATCTAGAGATATAGTTCCATAGCGTGTAGTTGCAGGCTCCTGAGTAATCACTGACATTATATCTGGATGAAAAATAATCATTTAGTTACAACTGCTTCAGAACCATCAATTAGCAAAGTTTTTCACGCTCCAGTATTATGTGTGCAATATAAAAAAAGGATGATCAAATGACATACCTGATGTAGAAGTTAGCAGTTTGCAAAGATAAAGAACTTTTGTAGAGATCACAAAGCATGCTAGACTTTATAACGAAGCAGGGGAAGAGGAACAACATGATTGCATAACTAGTTTTGTAGTAGTAGTCCAGGGAAATCTAAAGAGAAGTGAAAAAAGTAATAGAAACTTACAAATCACATCATATATATTTTAGAGAACAAAATGCTTCCTTTTTGCCCCCTTAACCCTTTAATTTCTAGATACATCTACTGAACAGACATACGTTAAAAATGTAATGAGTCCATAATGTTCACTAAAAACTGACAGGTCAATTTACTAAAGCCTTTAGTAATCGCCCAATTATGCTTACTAACACTATATCACACACTATCGGGGGCAAAAAAACTATCGGGGCAAAAAAAAACTTTAGCTGAAAATGGCCAACATTCCAATTACTAACAGACTTACATAGGAGAATTGAGCAATTGAGCATTTTAGTTATGAAGAAAGGTTAAAAATGTTTAATCTCTTTAGTTTGGAACCTCTTTAGTTAGTTCACACATTTAGGCTGGAAGAAAGGAGATTTAATCTAAGGCAAAGAAAAGGTTGGGGTTTTTTTACAGTAAGAACTATAAGGATATGGAATTCTCTTTTTTATCAGAGTCTATACAGATGTTTAAACAGCAATTGGATAAATACTTTTTTAAAAACATAACACAGGGATATAATTTCTAATTCGTGGTGTAATAGCTGCTTGATCCAATGAGATCTCTGACTGCCATTTTGGGGTCAAGAAGGATTTTTTTCAGCTATGTAACTATGTAATATTAATTCATAGTTTTTAAGTTGCTGTGATCTAAGAATCTATATATATATATATATATATAAATAGCTGTTCCTGGACAATAACTGTTTTTTGTGGCTGTATAAATGCCTGCAAGAGACTGCCTCTTGTCAGATTCCAATTTAGAATTTCCCCACTGATTATGGGTTTGCTTTCTGAATTAAAGATCAGTAAACATTTTTTTTTTTTTTTGGAACCTCTGGTCTGGCATTTTTGTTGCTGTCCAGAGATACTTGTCAACAGTTTAGGGTTCAGTCCAGGATTGGCACATCACAGAACAGTGATGGAACTCATCTCTCCCTGGAAGACTCAACTGACTGCGATCACTGTAAAGGTAATCCCTACCTTGACATGTGCACGGTCGCCTTGTCTGCAAAAGCATAAACCCACCATTACCCATTTTCCAATAAAACACTGACACCATAGTTTTGGCAAAATTTATATCACAGCTTTATTGATTCTTAACATAAAATATAAAGGACATTGTCAACAGCAGGCCAATGTTGGCCTGCACAATTACCATCCTGCATTTTACAATTTAAACCCCCTGACAATGACCCACTCCAACATAACATAATACCCAAACATTGTAACATTTAACCCCTTAACGCCGTTACGGTGTTCTATGCCGTCCCACATTTAATGGGCTTTAAAGCTGTTGTGGCAGCATAGAACGCCATAACGGCTGAAGCCCCCAGGACCTCGGCGGTACTTACCTCCGCTGCGATCCTCTTCTGGAGGGCTGCCTGACAGCACAGGTAGCCCTCCCCCGGCAAGTGAGGCCCCCGGGGGCCATGTGATTGCTCTCAAAGAGCGATCACATGGCCCCCCATAGCCCCCCCCCACATGTTAAAATAAAATAAATGCATTTTTATATATATAATATATGTATATCTATTATATATATATAATATATATACATATTATATATATGTAACGTCATACAAAGTGTATTTTAATATTGATATAAGTACATATATTAGTATTAAAATACACTTAGAATGACGTTACATATATTATATATATATATATATATATATATATATATATACGTATAATTACAATAATAAATAAATAAAATAATAAAATAAATAAATAAAATATTGAAACAAAATTTAATATAAATTATATATTCATATGTAATTTCATTCTAACTGTATTTTGTTATATATATATATATTGGTAACAAAATACACTTAGAATGACATTCTATATATATATCTATCTATATATAAAATACAAATAACCGCAAATATATATATATATATATAGATAAATACATATAATTACATAAAAGATTACATTAGTATACACATAGAATTTAAATACCTATAAATGCATATATATTAAAATTCTACGTGTATATTTAAGTAATCTTTTAACATAATTAGGTGATTTGATTAATTAAAATTTGATTGACATGCCTGACAACACAGGGAGAAAGTGCAGAGAATTGAATTCGCAAGCACTATATTTGACCCTTTAACTCTCCAAGACACCATAAAACCTGTACATAGGGGGTACTGTTTAACTCGGGAGACTTCGCTGAACTCAAATATTAGTGTTTCAAAATGATAAATTGTATTATAACGATGATATTTTAAGTAAAAGTGACGTTTTTTGCATTTTTTACAAACGAACGGCACTTTTATGGACTATATTATTGTTGTAATATGTTTTACTGTTTTAAAACACTAATATTTGTGTTTAGTGAAGTCTCCCGAGAATAACAGTACACCCCATGTAGAGGTTTTATGGTGTTTTGGAAAGTTAGAGAGTCACATATAAGGCTTGCATTTCATTCTTTTGACATTGAAATTTGCCAGATTGGTTATGTTGCCTTTGAGAGCGTATGGTAGCCTAGGAATGAGAATTACCCCCATGATGGTATACCATTTGCAAAAGTAGACAACCCAAGGTATTGCAAGTGGGGTATGTCCAGTCTTTCTGAGTAGCCACATAGTCACAAACACTGTGTCGCCAGTAGAACCTCGGAACCATTTTCGACCATACGCCCTATCTCTGTTTGGGGAACTCCCGCTCATGGAACTGTCTTCCCGCTGCCTCCAGCCACGTGTCCTGACAGGGGGCACCCTACGCCGCCTCCGGGTGTGTTCTGCCCCGCAGGGAACCTTGTCGTCCACGTCAGTCACCCTCCGATGGCTGCTACGCGACCGGTGCCTCCTTGCGCTCCGTGTGCCCTTTGCTTGACCCTCTGCGCTGTCCCTTGCTGTCCCTCCCTTCCGATCCTTCCCTGATGACTTGACCCGCCCGTTGTCTTCCCTGACCCGGTCGTATGAGAGTCCCTGGTGAAGCGCTGCGCTCCTGCACGCTGACTGGGGAGACCATGGGGCGTCGTTTATCGCTATACCCTTCTGGTCCGCTCCGTGCCCTAGCAGTCCCCCGCCTGCCTCAGCCACCCTGCCGTCACCAACCATGCTAACACCGAGACCCACCACCGGGGTAACCCGTGGCCCAGCAACTGGAGGGGCAATGGCGTCAGAGGTCGACTCACCCGGGCGATGGGCCACAGCTGTCCCTGCTCCACCAACAGCACTTCCAGCGTTCCCAGGACCTGCTGCCAAGCCTGCCGTACCGCTCCTCCTTTTTCCACTGGACCCTGCCTTTAATGGCCGCTTTCCCGAATTCCTGTCACCAGCAGACACTTCTCCTTCATTCCCTGTAATAGAGGACACAAAAACTGAACGTTCTGCAGTTTTTCTGCCTCCCCGTTCGGCAGCCGAACGGCCGGCAGTATGGCTACCTCCCCGTTCAACTCCCGAACGTTCGGCAGTTTTCTTACCTCCCCATTCTGGAAACGAACGGTCAGCAGCATCAGTACCTCCACGTTCGTCTCCCGAACGTTCAGTAGTTTCAGCCCATTCGCCAGTTCTCCTACCTCCACGTTCGTCTCCCGAACGTTCGGCAGTTTCAGCCCTTTCGCCAGTTCTCAAACCAGCAGCCTGACGACATGTTTGTGCGGCTGCACTGCGACACCTCCTGCGACCTCCTACACTTGCGGCCTTCCCGCCAGTAGTCTCACCGCTGCCATCGGGACCTCCAGAAGGGCTTCTTGGACGCCGGGAACCCAGAACCACGCTGGGGCTCAGCCTCTGTGGGGGCCTTGTCCTCCTGACCTGCCTCTGACCCAGGGAGCTTCCTGATCCGGATGGCAAAGCATCTCCAAGGTGATCCCTCAGCAACTCGACACCCCTCTCCTGCACCGCTGCCCGGACTCCTTCCAGCCAATCTTCCATCTTGCTGACAACCTGCAGAGGAGACAAAAGAAAAAGCCACACAAATCCTGCCACAACAGCAGGTAAGTGCAACCCCTAGATCTAAAATGGCCACTACTTATACTCCCCTTACAACTCCACCCCACTCCATTTCCTTAAACCAATCCCTAACCACTGACCCTTAGATGCCTGTCTCCTGGCAATGTCAAGTCCCACTCCCCTTAGCTACGCTGCTCCATGGGCTACAAAATAAATGGTCGAATTCCCTAGGTAGTCTAGTTGGGGATGATGTATGGTTGGTTCTGTGTGACCCAATATGAATCTAAATCTATATTATTAAGGGTAACTTAGTGTGCACTCAAGATTTCATCTGTGTGATGGATAGGGCTTTATGCATGGGAAAAATAGGACAGTTCAGTACTGGTGTACGGGCACATGTAAGAGTACTCATGGGGAGTATCCTCAATAGCTTGTGTAACCCGAGTAACCACAGAGGACCCTTTGGGAAATAACTCTGCCCAACTCAACCTCATCAGTGCAGGCAGGGGAGCAGCGTTAAGTATGATATCATTTGGGAATAATACTGTCGGTGTACAGACAATATTCTAGCTCAGTTCAAAACTATGACCTTATTGTCTCTTATATGGTAACACAGTTGTTTGGATAGAGTGCATAAAAATACTATAATATGGGAAGTTAACAAGGGAAATATCCAATGGAAGATCCTTAGTGGCCCCTTGTTTCACCAGTTTATTTTAATAAGAAATGTATATCTATGAATGAAATATTATTATTATTCAGAAATACACCATCAGGTGGTGGCACTATATAGATAATGTGTTGGGGGCACTTTGGAGTCCTTGAATGAATATTTTACTTTGCTTAATAATTGTGAATCAAGTATTTCTTTTTCATGCAGCAGCTGCAAGTTAGAACCTTTTATGGTTCATAATGAATGCTTTTACTGCCTAACCATTTGGAACATGTGTGACATCTGCTGCTAAGCTGCTGCGTGCTTTTCATGTCCGGTAAGCCCGGTTGGCGGTTTTCGGGAAGGGGGTACTGTCACGCCGCCCGCTGGGTCCGCTCCTGCCAGAGAGCAGTATGGGTCAGGGCGGGCGTGTATCGTTGTGGTGGCATTCCCACATTGCAAGGGGAATGCCGCCGAATACTCACCTTGTGTCAAGGCGCCCCCAAGAGTGGACTGGGACCCGGCGGGCACATCCTGTTGCGGTGACATTCCCATGTGGTAATGGGAATGCCGCCGATTATGCACCTCCTCCTGTGATCCCCCCTCCCCCCTGTTTATGCTATATCTGAATTCTTGACCTCAGCCTGTCTTGTGTTTTTTCCTTTTATACGTTAAAACCGTCCGTTCTAAGGCCCGGTAATGCGTCTTAGGGTTTTCTTTACTTGTTACTTAAGTTCTGCATTTTGGGCATAGTAGTGTATCCTGACATTACGACAGGGCCATGAACCCTGAAGACTTAGGTAGATAAGTGATGTCTTGTAAAGCGAAGCTTGAGGAACATGATCACCCCATGGATCAGTTCGCTCAGGCTTTTCAGACATTGCTGGCTCGCACTCCTCACCTCCAATCTGAGACACCTCCTACTTACCAGGCTCCACAGCATGCAGCTGTGGCAGTGTCCAGTGGTCAAAGGGCTCCGACCATAAGCCTATCCCCTCCACCAAGATTCAGTGGTGATTCCCAGGAGTGTATGGGGTTTTATAATCAAATCAAATACCACTATCCCCTGGTTCTTTTCCTTCTGATAGGGCATAGATTGGGTATTTAATGAACCAACTGTTATGGGCAAATGCAAATATTACAAGTTTTAGAATGAAATGTTGTATTTCTTAAACTGTGTACTTTGTCTTTAAGAGATATTGCAAATTGACATGGTGTTAGAAATGGAACATATTGTTTTTCATAGATGTTTCTTTAAGCAATAACCTCAGTGCAATGGTTTGCACCATTTTGTCCCAGACGAATTACAATAACAATAATGCATAAACAAGCTTCAAGGCTATCCTACGACTCTTTACTGTGGTAACCGCAAGTTAATGGAACGTCCCCAAATCAGGGAATCTCCCACGACTGTTTAGACTATTAAGACTTTAAGATGCCATCTTGAACTAAGTCAGGAAAATTTCCATGACGTATGGCCTTGTATGTTTGCCAAGTTAAGGGAGGTCCTAAAATGAATAAAGTAAAAGAAGTGTTACTTTTTCATATATGAACTACGGTAACTCTAAAATGACGACACCTAAGGTATAAATAAGTGTACTTTTAAATGTTAAGACACAGAGGAGAGACTTGGAGACAGACGCTGCTCCATCTTAAAATGACAGAGAGGCTGACATGATGACATGTTCAGAAGGGTATGTTAACCTATTAATGATATTTGCAAGCATGTAATTTAATCTTATAAACTCTGCTATAATGGATTTTTTATTTATATTTTTATATAATAAATATCCAAAAAGACAAAACTATTGCTTCCAAGACAATCCTTATTTTATATTGTATTCTCAATTATTTATATATGTTAAATAGAGGATCTCTTACTGACTATATACAATTATGGCTAAGATATCTGTATGGTTACCCTACTAAGTTCTATGCTTTAAGACATTATAGTGGTAAATAAGGGAACCACCTGCGGTTACACAACTATCCGGTAAAGCCCTTATGGGAGAGTGGTAGGACTACTTCATACGTAGATTTTCCTCTCCTGCAGGTGCAGGATTCTTCTTTGTTTCAAAGAAAGAGGTAGATCTATGACCTTGCATTGATTATAGAGGCCTTAACAAAATTACTATAAGAGACGTCTATCCTATTCCCCTCATCATGGAATTATTTGATAGACTTAAAGTGGCCACTGTGTTACCAAATTAGACCTTAGGAGTGAGTACAATCTAGTCAGGATAAAGGAAAATCGTGAATGGAAAACCACTTTTAACACAAGGAGTGGGCATTATGAATATCTCGTAATGCCATTTGGCTTGTGTAATGCTCCTGCGTTTTCCAAGACCTTATAAACGACGTCTTAAGGGAATACATCCATTCGTGTGTTCTAGTCTATTTGGATGACATACTCGTTTATTCCCCAAACATTACTACTCACTATGTTCAAGTCTCTCAGGTACTCACTACGCTGTTATGCAATGGCTTATTTTGTAAACTGGAGAAATGTTTATTTCATCAAACAGAGGTACAATTCTTAGGCTACATTCTCTCAGCCAAGGGTTTTGAAATGGATTCCAAAAAACTTGAAGCGGTCTTGCAATGTTCCAGACCTAGAGATTTTAGAGCCATTCAAAGGTTCATTGGATTTGCTAATTACTACCGCAGGTTTATAAAAGGATTTTCCTGTATCATTTCTTCCATTACTAATCTCACACGTAGAGGTGCTGAGACTCTTGCTTGGCCTCCTGAAGCCCTGTCTGCCTTTGATCAGCTTAAAACCTTTTTTTATACTGCCCCTATTCTCGTTCATCCTGATCCTTCCAAGTATTTTGTGCTAGAGGTTGATGCTTCTGAAATAGGAGTAGGAGCTGTACTTTCTTAACGGGAGTCTCAAGACACTCCTCTCCATCCTTGTGGTTTCTTTTCCAAAAAGCTATCCCCTGCAGAAGTTATTTATGATATAGGGAACAGGGAGTTGGCTATAATCCTAGCTTTGAAAGAGCGGAGACATCTGGTAGAGGGAGCTAATGTACCCATAATGATTATCACTGACCATAAGAATTTGGCCTACATAAGTAAGGCAAAACGTCTCTCATCAAGACAAGCTAGATGGTCTTTGTTTCTTTCTTGTTTTAACTTTATTATGATGTATAGGCCTGGTTCTCGTAACACTAAGGAAGATGCCTTATCTAGACAATTTGAAACTGACTCTGATCAAGATCTAGTAATTGTTCTCATTATACCACCTGAACGTATAGTGGCAACTACTGTATGAACCATGTCCTCCTCCTTGATGGATAAAGTACAGGCAGTCCAAACACAGGTCCCTGACAGTAAACCAAACGATAAATTGTATGTTCCACTTACAGAGAGAAGAGAAATACTCTCATTGAATCATGATACCAAGTCTGCTGGCCATCCCAGGATTCAGAAAACCATATCCTCCAAATCTAGACAGTTTTGATGGCCTTCTTTACATACAGATGTTACTGATTATGTTCGGGCATGTACTGTTTGCGCTATGACCAAAACACCTCGTAAACTGCCTTCTGGTCTCACAGCCACTCCCCGTCCCAGAAAAATCTTGGTCCCATCTTGCCATGAGCTTCATTGTAGATCTACCACCATCTAAAAGACATACTCTTAGATGGTGGCATTCCTTCTCAGTTTCATGAGACTGGATTACCGGTTCTTGATCACCACCTCCACGATC